GTTTCACTTAAAAATGTCCCTACAAAGCAGAAAAACTGTTCACTATCTCAATTGAGGAGGTCAAGTCTTAATATTCTGTGTGAGAAAAATGAAAATATTTGTATAGTATTTCTGCTCAATACCAAAGTACAACAGTTGCTTGCAAGAAAACCTCTTGTACGGTTGAGCTGCAGGCTAAAATAGCCTTTTGTTTTTCAAAGAACATTGTTTTTTACTTGAAAGAAGTGATGAACTATAGCTATTCAAATGTGTGTATTTGGCAAAAAGTTTCTCAAAAGTGAATGAAAGCTCGGCACAGTGGCTCACGCCTGTAATTCCAGCACTTTGGGAGGCCAAGGTGGGTGGATCATCTGAGGTCAGGGGTTTGAGACCAGACTGGCCAACATGGTGAATCCCCGCCTCTACTAAAAATATAAAAACTTAGCTGGGTGTGGTGGTGGATGCCTATAATCCCAGCTACTTGGGAGGCTGACGCAGGAGAATTGTTTGAGCCTGGGAGGTGGATGTTGCAGTAAGCCGAGATAGCGCCATTACACTCCATCCTGGGCAACAGAGCAAGATTAGAATGAAATAAGCTTCTGCCAGTCTGCTCATTACATTATAGGTCTTTGAGAAATAAGAGTTTATCAAGTTATGTAGAACTTCCAAATGTGGACACCATTACATTGTATACACACACACACACACACACACACACACACACACACACACACGTGTTAATATCACCACAACCCTCCCAACATGGGAGCCGGAGTCCCTCTATGGCTATATGCTCTAAGGTCTCCTGTCTGTGCCAGTACCTGGACTGAGACACTCCCGTAAAGAAGGCCTACTGCCCTGACAGCCCACGGACTCCATCTGTAAGCTGACTGGAAGGTCACACATTGAACTGTCCCTCCTTCTATAAGCCCCCACATGGCCCGTGAGCTCTGAAGGGCTCTTGCCGCCTAACAGCATTTGTCTTCCCAAGGCACGCCCACACTGCTGGTTGCTCATCATCAGATCCCCTGCCTGTACTCCAGAGGGTACCCAGCAATCCAGACCAGCTCCAACCTGGCCAAAACCAGCATACCTCTCTGTTATCTGTGGCCCAACCCACACCTACTCCAGTGAGTTCTGAACCTCTTCCAAGTTTGTCCTTCCTTGGGTATTCTCCCTTAGACCTACAGTACCATACACAGTTTCCCTATATTACAATTATTCTTACAGTTAATAATTATGTATAGTAAGCTTCTTCTGTTTAACCTACTATGGGGTTTAACCTACTATGTGGTTTCTATCTCCTGAATGGACCCAAATTGCTACAACAAACATAGTACTGTACTTCACACATATTTTCCATGTACGTCCCCATTACTAAACTGTGTTATTTGCTTTAGCACAGATACTATCTTAGCCATCTTTCATTTGCTAGAAATATGTAAGTCCTCAAGAAATATTAGCTGAATGAATTAAATGGTGTTGAGAGACTCCCGCAACAAATAAAAAAAATTGACTGAATTACATCTGCCTCTTCTAATCAGGAATGTCTAGAATTCTATGAATCTATAAAGCTAACCCTTTAAGGATAGGTAATCAAAAACACCATGGAGGAACCAGGATGCTGGCAATTTAAACAGGTTAATAATTTGTTTTATCACACTTCTGAAATAATCTGGTAACAATAAATATCCTTCTGAATAGTAACTTAGTGGAAGATCCAATAAGTGGTTCAGGCTCTGAAAAAAAAACAAAAAAACGCTGAGGTCCACTATTGTATATGGGAAGCATCTGATGAAAGACAAATGCAGGCTCCCAAGACTGCAGGTTCTACTATTCAAGGCTAAACAGCTGCTGCAAAGATTAGAAAATACAGTGTATCTCTCCACAGAGGTCACAAACTCTGTCTCATGTCTGCTAGCCTACAGACATGTTTTACTTGTTCTGCAGAGTTTTAACATTTTAAATTTAACTGCCAACATTTAAAACACCTTTCACATGAAAATCCAAACTTCTGGCTTCTCAAGGCAAAAATCAGAAAACTTTTCCCTATTTTGTTTTTAAACTTTTTTCAATAAAATATAAAAAATGTAAATTTTAATAGTAATAAGAGATGGTGTCTCACTATGTTGACCATGCGGGCCTTGAACTCCTGCCCTCAAGCAATCCTCCCATCATAGCCTCCCAAAGTGCTAGGATTACAAGTGTGAGCCACCACTCCCAGTCAAAAAAAAAAAAAAAAAAAATCAGAAAACTTTACAATACCAACCTTATACTTCTGCTGGAACTTTGTAAGCACCTACCTCTCTATACAGGATATGTGCCTTCCTGTTTGCCACACAATTCCCACTAGAGCATTTCACTTGTTTATGTTGCCTCCCTGGTCCCTATAAGCATGAGCTTGCAACCCCTGCGGTACTAGGTTTTTACAAGCATAGGTTTTGGAATCAAGATTTTTGTTCATGCTTCTGTCCCACCACTTAGTAGGTAATGGCAATTAATTGCGGAACCTTGGCCTTATAGAACTGGATACAGTAAATACACACTCAACAAATACTAGCACATTATTACACTACTCAACTGGGAAATAGAATGTATTGGAGAGAAAAGGCATTGGTCTTGAAATCAGAAGATAATAAAATATGTTGTGACCTTAGGCAAATTACTTGTATTTTCCACCTCGGTTTCCTTATCTGTATAAGGTAGATCTAAAACTATATTCCCTGCTTATCACAAAGCAGCATAGTGAAGTAAAAGGGCGTTGATATTTGTAAAAATGGAAAATTCCAGGTTCGAGCAGTAGTGAAGAAATTACCCATGGGGAGTATCAGTACTCTAGTAAGCAGGCTTTGGATAACTAAATGTGACAGGGAAACCCATCAGTCAGAAGGAAGGGGAAAAGACTCTGAAGCCACAGGTTCTCTAGGCCTGCCAAAAGCCCCAAAGAGACTGTATCTTTGGAGTCTAGACGGGGAAAGAGGGCTAGGAGACCAGAGCAGGAACCAGCTAACATAGCTACAGGGTAAAGCTAATCCTCCTGAAGGCTAGGAGCCTGGAGAAAAGATTAGGAAGCTGTTCTAGAAGGCCCTGTAATCCCATCAGACCCGGCAACAAGACTAACCCATGACCATGTCTGACTAGAGTCAAAGAAGTGTTTCTGTCTCCGACCAGAACCAGGTGGGATAGGGCTGATTTCCAATAAAGAAAGTCTGACCTCCACAGAACAAGACATCGTCTCTTCAAACAAATAAATAAACAAACTCTGACCTTTTTTTCTCCTCTTTTTAAATATATTGCCATTGGGCCCAGTGCAGTGGCTCATGCCTGTAATCCCAGAACTTTGGGAGGTTGAGGCGGGCAGATCACTTGAGGCCAGGAGCTCGAGACCAACCCGGCCAACATGGTGAAACCACATCTCTACTAAAAATATAAAAATCAGCTGGGCATGGTGGCCCACACCTGTAACATCAGCTACTCAAGTGACTGAGGCAAGAGAATCACTTGAACTTGGGAGGCAGAGGTCACAGTGACCCGAGATTACGCCACTGCACTCCAGCTGGGGTGACGGAGTGACTGTCTCAAATAAATACATACATACATTGCCATTGAGAGTCTGAGGACGCTGAAAAAAAACGGATTCCTGCATAAGATTTTTTTTTTTCACGTTTACTGTCAGGTTCTCAGAATGCCTATATCACAGCCGTCTTTGCAAGGAGTTCCTTTTACACCAGTTGCTGGTGGGCTCTGGGTAGCCTTGCCACGCTGGCATGAATGGCTGGGACCTGGAGCCAGCCTTCCAACAGACAACCAATCTAGAGTCTGGCCAGTAGCACAGGGAGTAGTCAAGCACAAATGACATGCCTAACAGAACTTGACTTAGGGATAAGGCAGAAAACAGACGGAAACAAACAGAAACTGAGAGAAAAAGAAAAGCAAAATAATGGGCCAGGCATGGTGGCTCACACCTATAATCCTAGCACTCTGGGAGGCCAAGGCAGGAAGACCACTTGAGCTCAGGAGACTCCCATCTCTACAAAAGACTGGAAAAAAACAAGGCTGGGCGTGGTGGGTCAGCCCACCCATCTCTACAAAAGATTAAAAAAAAAAAAGAGGCCGAGGTGAGTGCATCACCTGAGGTCAGAGCTTGAGACCAGCCTGGCCAACATGGTAAAACCCCATCTCTACTAAAAATACAAAAATCAGCAGGGTGTGGTGGCACACACCTGTAATCCCGGCTACTTGGGTGGCTGAGCCAGGAGAATCACTTGAACCTGGGAGGTAGAGGTTGCAGTAAGCCGAGACTAAACTCCAGTCTGGGAGACAGAGTGAGACTCTGTCTCAAAAAAAAAGAAAATAAAGCTAGCCAGGTATAGTGGTACCTGCTTGTAGTGGGAGGCTGAGGTGGGAGGATCTCTTGAGCCCAGGAGGTCAAGGATGCATGAGCTATGACTACACCACTGAATCCCAGCTTGAGTAACAGAGAGAGACCCTGTCTCAAAAAAAAAAAAAAAGGGAAGGAAAACAGAAATAGGGAAAATTAGCTAAGTCAGAATCATGGGCTCTACACATGCCTGCTGAAGAGAACGAAGAGTCTGATCTGACCACACAATCAGATCCTGTCAATTTCCTTATTTCCTTCAACTCTTCAAAATAAACTCCCCAATTTAATGTAGAACAAAAAAGAAGAAAAAAGATTTTTTTTCTTCACTTACTTCACTAACAGAAGTTCAGCAAACAAGAAATATCTACTATTGACGAAGGTGCAGAAACACATATTCTTCTCATTCACTACTGGCAAGCATGTAAACTGCATTATCTGCTAACATAATACAGCAGATGTCCCTCATGGTGCCTGTCCAAACTGCTACCCATGGAATGGGCTGTTCTCAGTGTCCTGTGGCCTCCTTGGCTACAGCAGCGAAGCAGAAGCCATTCCCCTGGCAGGCTAATGACCAAAAGTCTTGTAAAAAAGGAGACACTGGGGCCAATTAGAATCACCTCTCAGAACTGTGTAATCAGGACACAGAGACACTAAACTGGAAAGGTGTTAAGAGCTAAACTAGGGACTGAAGTTGCTATTTGAGGCCATGTACAAAGTGAGTGGGCTGAGAAGCCTTGTGTATAGTTAGGTGGAGGAAGAAAGAGAGTGGAACAGGGCAGAAATCTGAAGGTACTGAGTGAAAACAATAAAGAATTTCCTTAATTCTGGGCCACCACAATTTTCTTGAGAGACAGCCACATTTCACTGGCCTGGGAGCGCTGTATCATTACAATAAATCCCTCTTCACTTGAACTAGTGTCTGTTCCTTAGAACCAAAAGGGCCTAATCTAGAGTAAAGTTGGCAATAAAAGCAAAGGTAAAATGTGGAGGGTTGGTGAGTACACGGTTGTACCTGGACTAGTAGAATGATGTTAGGTAAAGGCAATCCTTAGAAAGTTATGTACTATGTGTACAAATTACAAACAATTTCATTGCTTATCCAACCCAGTCTTTTCAAGAGCCCACATAAGAGACAAGATGAACAGATCTGTGTCTCTTTCAGCAAGATAACCGGACCAGCAATAGACTCCTGACAAGTGCAGTCAAAACAGGTTAAAACATCAGGTGAGCCGGACACAATGGATACACCTGTAACCCCAGCACTTTGGGAAACTGAGGCAGGAGGATCATTTGAGGCGAGTATTCAAGACCAGCCTAGGCAACATAGGGAGACCCTGTACCTACAAAACATTTAAAATTTAGCCAGGCATGATGGCATGTGCCTGTAGTCCCAACTACTTGGGAGACTGACATAGGAGGATCACTTGAGCCTGGGAGGTCCAGGCTGCAGTGAGCCATGATCGAACCACTGCATTCCAGTCTGGGTAACAGCAAGACCCTGAGGGAAAAAACAAAACAAAACAAGCAAGAGTCATCTAGAGAGAGAGTCTTAACTGGATGGTAATCCAGGCATAACATACAAGAATGGTCCGCAGTGGCCATATCGGGCATTATACAAAAATGAGTGAGTAAAGTAGGCTGTAGAGATGGAAGAATAAATATTCAAAAAGAAACAGAAAATAAACCAGGCAGCCTTCAAGTGGCAAACAGAACACCGCCTCTGGCTTAGAAATTCTGGTTCCCATGAAACTTGACTATGCTTTCTTGTCTTTGGATGTCTGGAAACTGCAACATATTTTTTACTTGAGTATTTTTGTTCCTTATAGTCCAAGGTAAAGACCGCAACTGGGCAGGGCATGGTGGCTCAAACCTGTAATCCCACAACTTTGAGAGGCGGAGGCGGGTGGATCATCTGAGGTCAGGAGTTCTAACACCAGCCTGGCCGGCATGGCAAAACCCCGTCTCTACTAAAAATACAAAAATTAGCAGGGTATGATGGCAGAGGCCTGTAATCTCAGCTACTAGGGAGACTGAGGCAGAAGAATCACTTGAACCCAGGAGGCAGAGGTTGCAATGAGCTAAGATTGCACCACTGCACTCCAGCCTGGGTGACAGAGCAAGACTCCATCTCAAAAATAAATAAATAAATAAAATAAAAGCGTGTGATGGGGTGGAGGGAATACATACTTTCAGCCCAACAATTCTATGTAATAACAAGCCTGCACAAAAATGCAAGTATTAGCACAAAGCTTTATTTGTAAATAGAGAAAAGTTACCATCAGCCACAGTATTCAAAGGTCTGTTAACTAAACCTTAATGCATTCATACAGGCAATACTGTGCAGATATTAGAAGCTGTAGAGAAGTTCAGGTATCCCTTTCTGCCTGAGCTCATGCTCCTTGACTCAGAAACCAAATAGATTCAGATAGCAAGGGACACCTGTATTCAATGACATGGAAAGATGTTCATGATAAATTAACTGAAAAAAGGGTTACAAAACAACATATACCCTATTTTCATTAAAAGGAGCATATCTGCATGTATTTTTGTATACACATAAAAATGAGACTTTCTGTACTGTCTGCAATGTTCTTGTCTTCCTGTGATTCTTATAAACAATAAAAACTCTCCTAAAAAATTAAATACAAGATTTTCTTTCAAAGGCTGCAAGGTAGGATTTGGACAATAAGTCCCAGCTCTATTGTAGGACTAAGCAGTACTGTGGTTAAAAAAGCAAGCAGACAGGAAGAAAAAAAGAAAGGGTGAATGAGAAGACTTAAAGAAGGGAATCTGGGGTCTTTACACCACCAGAGGCCCTGTTGCCAATAATAGGTACTCTCTAAAATCAACCTTTCACTCCAGCCAGGCCAGTCTCCCCACTATCTTCCCCTTCATTCAACATAGTCATTCATGTTTCCATTATGCTGTTCATTCTAATTGTCTGGTGTTGACTGTCCTCCATCACACATATCCTCTGTTTAACAGCAATTCAAGTCTCAATTCCTTCAGAAAGCAGCCTCTCACTACTCTAGACAACACTGATTTCTCCTCTCTGTAAAAATAGCGATAGTTTTGAATTTAGAAATCTACTTAAGAGTCACCCAAATCAGCTACTTGGGAGGGTAAGGCAGGAGGATCTCTTGACCTCAGGAGTTGAGGCTGCAGTGAGCTATCATCATGTCACAGCACTCCAACCAGGATGACAGTGAGTCCCCCAGCTTTATAATTTTTTTTTAAGGAGTTACTCAATATCTACATTTGAGACTACCTAGATTTTGACTACATGATGTTTCTAGTTAACAAATTGGAGCACCAGACAGGCAGCTCCAGAATATTAAAAACATTCCCCACAACTGGCTGAGTGCAGTAGTTCATATCTGTAATCCCGGCACTTTGGGGGGCCAAGACAGGAGGATTGCTTGAGGTTAGGAGTTTGAGACCAGCCTGGTCAATATAGTGAAACTCCATCTCAGCTAAAAATAAAACATCAGCTGGACGTGGTGGTGCACACCTGTAAGTACCAGCTACTTGGGAGGCTGAGGCATGAGAATTGCTTGAATCCTGGAGGCAGAGGTGGCAGTGAGCCAAGATCACGCCACTGTATTCCAGCCTAGGTGACACAGTGAGATTCTATCTCAAAAACAAACAAACAAAAAGACAAGAGATTCCCACTAGCGAAATCATGCAAGATCAAAATGTAATCAATGTCTAAGACGTGCCCATTCCCAGAGATACCTTGAGTCTAAATTTGGGAAGCAAAAGGATAAAACGGCAGTAAAAAAGCAGAAATCAAATAATCTGTGTTGAACTCTATCAAAAGTCAGAAGAGAGGGCATCAGGTTGGTAAGGCAGACAGTCTAGGCTGGTTCACTCACCACCCACTCCCAACCACTTCTCCCTTTCCTTTCTCTGTTGTAAAAGCTGTAGAGATAAAATACAGTACTCTCATCTCATCTGTGGTTTGGCTTTTTGTGGTTTCAGTTACCTGTAGTACAGCACAATAAGGTATTTAGAGAGAGAAAAAGACCACATTCACGTAACTTTTATTACAGTATGATATTATAACTGTTCTATTTTATTATTAGCTACTGTTAATCTCTACTGTGCCTAATTTATAAATTAAGTTTGATCATAGGTATGTATGTATAGGAAAATACATATACACCAACGAGTATATATATACACGGTTTGGTACTACCCATAGTTTCAGGCGTCTACTGGGGGTCTTGGAACATATCTCTCATGGATAAGAGAAGATCATGATTACTCCACCTTTCAGCCTTCCTGAAGATAAGAGTGGCCACTGATACTCTGGCCAAAGAGGCAAAAGCCCCTGGAGAGGGCTTTTTCTTTTGTTTTGCCCCTCCAGCTGCTTGGAGCATGGACATAATGCCTGGAGATGCAACCGAAAGAATAAAAACAAAATGGTAAGACAGGACAAGCCTTGATCCTTGCTGAAATTGGTGCTGCATAGCCCTAGTCTGTCGATCTTGTTATGTAAGAAAAATAAACTCATATTTCTTAAAGTCATTGGACAGCAGGTTTTCAGTTCCTTGCAGCTGTAGGGATCCCTGATACAGTTAGCATGGAGCTTAGAACAATGTTTCTTAATTATCTTTACTCTGCAACATTTATGAGGGATAGATGCCATTCTCTTCATTAATTGTTACTCGTTAGAGCAGTCACTCTCAACATGGCAGGCAACAAAATGGGAATGAGGGCAGAGAAGACTGGCTCTGAACCTTGGTGACTACCAAAGCAATGTCCTCTTGTAAGCATATTTCTAGGAGGCAATTCAATCTGATCCCTACAAAAATGCAGTAAGTATTTTTTGTTCTAAGGGTAAACAAGCAAAATACTTTCTATCTAAGTTGTTCCTTTCTTTCAAAGTCAATTCTCCAAATTTTACTCCTTCTTAATAACTAGGAAATTACTTAAGTAATTATTAATTACTTCTCATAATAATCATTCTATTAAAAAACCAAGAGGGGCCGGGCACAGTGGCTCACTACTATAATTCTAGCACTTTGGGAGGTTGAGGTGGGTGGGATCACTTGAGGTCAGGAGTTTGAGACCAGCCTGGCCAACATGGTAAAACCCCTTCTCTACAACTAGCTGGGCGGGTGATGCACACCTGCAGTCCCAGCTACTTGGGAGGCTGAGGCACGAGAATCGCTTGAACACAGGAGGCGGAGGTTGCAGTAAGCTGAGATCACACTGCTGCACTCCAGCCTGGGTGACAGAGCTAGATCCTGTCTCAAAAAAATAACTAAAATAAAATAAAATAAAAACAAAAACCAGGGTACTGACCGCACATAAATAAAAACCAGCTTTCTGTTTTGAAATTCTTTATATTCACAGTTATTCTATTACATTTATCATGGTTATAAAAACTGGTAATTCTGGAATAATGTTAAGTACGGACATACTCTGTAAAGTTATACACAAATGCCCATGACAGCTTATTTCTCAGAGAAAATTTAACTTCCATATTATATCAATTGTTCCCTTTCAATGCATTTTACAGTTGTTTTTGATAGTTTCCTACTGATTCCCTAAATTTGAAAAATATAAATCACCTTTCAAGTAAGCACATTTCTACAGATTATACACAAAGTATTTACACTCAATCTTCAAAACATCGTATGTGCTCCTTTAATTTATTAAGCTATGGAATTTGAGTTAAAAAACTTACAAGCCAGGATCATTAGATTATTTTGGAGAAGTAAAAGTGAAATAAAAAGACTATTCTTGTAAACAATCAATCTAGCTGTTTTCAAAATTAATGCAAACTCATCATCAGTGAAGGGATAAACTTAATGTGAAAGACACACATCATTAAGAAAATGACCAACCTCTTTTAACAAACATATCAATACAAATCATTGCAGCTAAACATGGAAGGTAAAGGATATTGCTCTCATTTTGGCAAACTATTTCTTAATGACAACCTAATTCCAAAATGGGGATTCTCTAAGATACTCCAAAATATCTGTATTTCACAATACACAAAAAATATCACACATAGCAGTCAAGAATATTTAAATTCCTCAAAATCTACAGAAAAATCACAAAAACAATCTTAATAATGCAAGAATAATCAAGGTTAAATCTCCTTCCAAAACTGACCACAATAGATGTGGCATTCAATTTATCTTTTCATGTCATTGTCACAGAAAAGTTCATTAACAATAATCGGTCTTCTAAACTATTGGCCTAATTGAGAGTTACTCAACTGTCAGTAAAGTCAAAACTTCCAATCAATGCCCTGCAGGTCAGTCACAGTCACTCTTCTGAGACCACAGGGAAAGGTTTGACCCCGATCAGGTGAATGAGAATGTCTGCCAAAACTGTAGGTGTGCAGGTTGGCGCAAACAATGCCCAACGCTGCAGAACAACTCAGTCAGTGGGTCCTGTTGGTAATTCCTAATCAACAGATGGCAAAAAGAACAGATGTGGGCACTGTTCATTTGAGAAAGTAAAATAAGCCAGGCACAGTGGCTCATGCCTGTAATCCCAACACTTTGAAAGGTTGAGGCAAAAGGATCGCTTGAGGTCAGGGTTTGAGACCTGAGCAACACAGAACCCACCTTTACAAAAAATATAAAAATTAGCCAAGTGTGTTGGCATGCACCTCTAGGCCTAGTTACGTGGGAGGCTGAGGCAAGGATTGCTTTAGCCCAGGAGTTCAAGGCTGTATGAGACTGCACTCCAGCCTGGGCAACAGAGCAAGACTTTGTCTCAAAAAAAAAAAAAAAAAAAAAAAGAAAAGAGAAAGTAAAATATACATTTAATTGGTGTAGTGTATCAAAAGTCAGTCAGGTTCTTCTAAAAATCACATTAGGCCAGGCACAGTAGCTTACATGTATAATCCCAACACTTAGGGAGGCAGAGGCAGGAGGATAATATGAGCCCAGGGGTTCAAAACTAGCCTGGGTAACATAGCAAGACCCCAGTCACCAACAAAAATAAGAAAAAAAAATTTTTTAACTGCATTACTGGTTGCTTTTAGGAAAAAAATTAGTGTTTAATTAACTCGATTTTAAAATAAGAAGTTAAGGTACATCTTCTTCCCAAGAGGAGTTTTTAAAATGGTATAGGTATGTGGAGGTGTACCGGTTACAACACGGTAGAAATAAATTTAAAATTTCTTCAGCTCAGTTTAACAAATGCATTTTAATTATTAGAGACTAAACAAACTCAAGAAAATGTAAAACAACATTACCATACTTGGTGCCTCCAAGTTTAGATACATTGAAGAACTTCTTATGTGAACTGTCATTTAATGTTTCAATAAGGTACTCAAAGGCGTATCCTGGAAAAAAAAAAATTTAATTAAACACAGCAACAATACCTGGAATGAAAACACCTGGAAACTAGCTCTGTCTAACAGAATTTTCTGCAGTGGTACAAATGTTCTAAGTTTGAGCTGTCCGGTAAAGTAGCCATTAGCCACGTGTGGCTCTTGAGCACCTGAAAGATGGCTATGGTGCCTGAGGAACTGAGTTTTTAATTTATTTAATTTTTATTACAGTTACAAAGGGCTAGTATCCACCACACTGGACGGCATCTCTCTAAATCATAATGTGTCGAATAAAAACTAGTAAGGTAATTCACTCCAGAAATGTTTTAACACACAATACCTGGAAAGAGACACTAAAAATGATTTAAATAATCTACGGGGACGTTTTGGAAAAGACATGTCTTGAAAACTGCAGAGACAGGAATTTGGGAACTCCAAAATTAGCATTAGAAGGACTGATTAAAAAAAAAACCAAAAGATGGATTTTTACGAAGTATTCAATAAACAAAAACAAAAAACTTCTCAGGTTCTTACAAGGGTTTAGTACAGAAAATTAAAGTAACAGAATATCTAGGAAATTAGCATATTCTCCCCGAAAGATATAAGTCCTTCTGGTTTTGCACGAATTGAAGCTGAACTTCAAAGACGCAGGGGTCTCATTTGAATATGCCTCAGCTCCCAACATTCTAGGGGGCAGTGGCGGGGAGGCAGCCTTGAGGTTGAAAAGAACCTTCAGATCTTTTGTGCAGACTCATAGCGGTGGGTGGGCAGGACCCTCAACATTGTTAAGGCTTTCATCCAAAAAGAGAAACACAAGCACAACCCATTTTCAGAATGAACAGTATTTTTTTCTCTTTTTTTGCAGAGGGAGGTGGACGGGGGGAGGAGACAGCGCTGCAATAAATGGTCGGGGAACTGACTGACCCATGTTCAACCTTAACTGCCCCTCCTTCGGCTTCCAGAGACACACAGAGACCGAGGGGCCTGAGGCTGGGCTGTGGAACCAACATCCAGCTGCGTGAGACCCAAGCACGGAGACGCAGGCCCCCGCCCTCATCGCTCCCCAATGGGGGGCGGGCAGAGGAAGATGGTGGGCCTCTCCCTGCCCCGGTGTTGCTGACGGGGGCCAGGAAGGCGCTGGCAGCAGACAGCGGCCATGGGAGAAAGAAGGGTGCGGGTCAAGACCAGCGGTGGGGCGGCCCGTCCTGCGGGGGTCGCGCGGGAGGGTGGGGACCGGGAATCCCATCTTCCGCGGCCTGGGCTCAAAGGGCGGCCCAGCAGGCAGGCCCCGAGGGGAGCACAACCCGAGCCCCGAGGGCCTGGGCGCCTGCCGAGCGACTCCAGGCAAGAAAAGCAAGGAACACGGCGCCTAGGCAGCGCGCGTTTCCAGCTGCCAGACCCAGCTCGGAGGCCCGAAACTGACCTGCTTTTGGGGCGTCCATCGCCGGAGACCATATTATCCCTGCGGGGAGGGGGCCAGCGGGGGAAGGAGGGGGGAGGCCGGGCAGGGAAGAGGGGGAGGAAGACAGGCGGACTGGCAAGGGAGGAAGGAAGGAAGCAGTCTCGCTCAAATATCGCGAGAGCCGCAGAGCCAGCCCCGGGTCTGCGCTTGCGGGATTTGTCGCCTAACTCCCGCGAGACCTTCGGAAGGAAAACAAAGAAAGAGAAGGGGCGGAGCTAACCGGAGGGCGCTTTCTCTCGCCCTCGCCGCTTTTCTCGCGAGCGGGGGCGGAGCGCTGGGGAGGCTCACGCGGTGGCGTTGGAGTCGCTAGTTTGGCCTTGGCAGCGGTCCGTTACTTAGTTGTGGCCTGAAGGTTTGTATTGGGGTCGTGAGTTCCAGCTGTGTGCGCGGTCCCGCAAGGGGTCTTTCGGAATCAGGGTCGGAATGGGAACTCCTAGGAGAAAAAGCTGAAGGAGAGCCACTTTCCCGTAACGGTAAAGCCTTACCTTAACTTGTCAGACGTGGCGGCCCACACGCCTGTTCTCAATAGGGGCGGCCACACTGATCCGGCCCGTGGGAAGCGCTCAACTAACTGTTGAATGAATGAATTTTTTCTTGTACTCCTGTAGCTTCCATCTCTGCCGCAGTTAACACACTTAAGCCTCTCCATCCCTCCGCCTCAGCTCCTCCGGCCCCTGTGTGCTCCACCTGCCCAGCATTATCTCCTGCGGGCAGCAACTTAACAGAAAGAGTTGCTCATACTCGCCCTCTCCCTTCCACTCCTTATCTTCTTCCAGTCTGGTTTCCATTCCCAGAAATGCCTTTAGCCAAGGTCAGCCATGACTCCACTTGCTGATCTCAGATACCTCAATCTTGACTGGTTCTTTCCCCTTGTTGAAAAATATTCTTCTATCAGCTTCTGTGACCTCAGACTCTACTTTTTTTCTTCTCCTAAGGGTGCTTGATCTCAGGCTCCTCTGCAGGCCTCTTCCTCTGCCCAGCTTGTAAATGTACTGGGCACTGGATGGGCACAGTAGCTCATGTCTGTAATTCCAGCACTTTAGGAGGCCAAAGTGGGAGGATGGCTTGAGCTGAAAAGTTCGAGACCAAACAGGGCAACATAGTGAGACCCCCATCTCTACAAAAAAAATTTAAAAATTAGCTGGGCATGGTGGCATGCACCTGTAGCCTCAGCTACTCAGGAGGCTAAGCTGGGAGGATCACTTGGGCCCAGGATGCTGAGGCTGTGGCAAGCCATGACGGCACCACTGCACTCCAACCTCGGCAACACAGCGGGACCCGGTCTCAAAAAATAATGTATTGAACATTAAATGTGCCCCAGTGCTCTGGCCTTGTACCTCCTCCCTCTCTCAATTTTCCCTGGTCCATCTCACCCTTCCTTTAACTTGTTATTAGTTAATATGTTGATGCTTCCTAGTCTGCCTGTAACCTGAGACTGTCTCCTGAACCCAGAGGTGTATATCCTAGTACCCATTGGATGCCTCCACATCCCACGGCCACTTCAAACTAAAAATCACCAAAATTTAACTCATCCTTTCCCTCCTTAAACCCACTGTTCCTTTTGTATTGCCTGTATCAGTGAATAGTGGCATCTACCTGGTTGCCTAAGCCAGAAATCAACACATTATACCTGACTCCTTTACCCTCTCCTTTTTATCATTGACCCAAGCGCTGTCAACCCAAATTCCAGAGTATTTCCTTTATTCACCTTGCTATATTTTGTAACGTCTCCTTTGCAATCTCAGCATGAAATTCATAGGTAATCTACATGCACAACAATAAAATAATCTATTTAAGGACCTAACCGTAATATAAAGGAGAAAAATAGGACAGTAATTTATTAGAAAATAATATGTATTGCAATATGTAGGTGCACAGGCATGTCTATATTAGATGACAAAATTGAGTCGTCAGATGCTTATATCTACTTCTAATGAATGAGTTTGGTTTTATAGGACCTATAATATTTGACTGGGCCAGGCACAGTTGGTAGCTCAGGCTTGTAATCCCAGTGCTTTGGAAGACCAAAGCAGCATGATTGCTTGAGTTTGACACCAACCTGAGCAACATAGTGAGTCCCTGTCTCTACAAAAATTTAGAAGAGTTAGCCAGGGGTAGTGGTGCATGCTTGTAATACCAGCTACCGTGAGACAGAGTCAGGAGGATCAGTTGAGCTCAGAAATTCAAGATTACAGTGAGCTATGATTGTGCCACTGCTCTACAACCCACTGCGATACAACCTGGGTGACAGAATGAGACCCTGTCTCAAAAAAAGATAATATTCAGCTGAATATGGTCAACACTTTTTTTTTTTTTTTAGGCAGAGTTTTGCTTTTGTTGCCCAGGCTGGATGGAGTGCAGTAGTACAATCTCAACTCACTGCAACTCCTGCCTCCCAGGTTCAAGCAATTCTTCTGCCTCAGCCTCCCATGTAGCTGGGATTACAGGTATGTGCCACCATGCATGGCTAATTTTGTATTTTTAGTAGAGATGGGGTTTCACTATGTTGCCCAGGCTGGTCCTGACCTCAGGTGATCCACCCACCTCAGCCTCCCAAACTGCTGGGATTACAGGCATAAGCCGCTGCACCCACCCAACACTTTTTATTTATGTCTGACATTGCAAAATAATCATTCAATATATACATACATATCATGCATAAATATGTATTATGAATGCATATATGGCAAATGCACATATGTATAAAATGTACATATATATCATGAGTGGTCTCCTCTAAAGACCAATGAAAATGTGTGAGTGATTCAAATATCGGAAGTGTTGTCACTATTGAGATTTTCTGAAATGGTAAATAACTCTTGGTAAAGTTCAAAACAAAATGAAATAAAACCTTTGCTTTTTTTACACAATAGTAGTATTCCTAGAAAATTCTCTATATAGGCCAGGTGTGGTGGCTCACGCCTGTAATCCCAGCACTTTAGGAGGCCGAGGCAGGTGGATCATGAGGTCAGAAGATTGAGACCATCCTGGGCAACATGGTGAAACCACATCTCTACTAAAAAAAAAAAAAAATTAGGCCGGGCGCGGTGGCTCACGCCTATAATCCTAGCACTTTGGGAGGCCGAGGTGGGTGGATCACCTGAGGTCAGGAGTGCAAGACCAGCCTGGCCATCATGGTGAAACCCCATCTTAAAAAAAAAAAAAAAAAATTAGCCAAGCATGGTGGGGTGTGCCTGTAGTCCCAGCTATTCAGGAGGCTGAGGCAGGAGAATCGCTTGAATCTGGGAGGCGGAGGTTGCAGTGGGCTGAGATTGCACCACTGTACTCCAGCCTGGGTGACAGAGCGAGACTCTATCTCAAAAAAAAAAAAAAAAAAAAATGCATATATATTAAAACCATACACAAATTACTTTTGTTTTCACTTGCAAATGGGGTTAAACTCTAGGCTCAGATAATTTTAAACAAAGTCATTGTTATTGTTTTTATGTTTCTGGGCATGTTTAACGTACTTGAATATCTGACAGTATGGGTCTTGTTTGATTCTTTGTTGTGTAATTCTGTACTGTAGAATGCAGGCAAATTAACATTCATTAAATACCAAAAGTGCCCCATGATGGTGACAACCAAAAATACCCATTTTCTCAGTGTCCTGCTTCTACTGAGAAGAACTAACTTGGAACAGTCATGATATGTTCCCTTCTGGCTGGACTCATTACTTTTTTTTTTTTTAACAGTTTTATTTACTTTTTGAGAGTTTTATTTATTTTAAGACAGAGGTCTAGTTATTTTGCCTAGGCTGATGTCAAATTCCTGAGCTCAAGGGATTCTCCCACCTCAGCCTCCCGAGTAGCTGGGACTATAGGCATGCACCATCTCAGTCAGCTTTAACAGTTTTAATTGAGGTTTAATTCAAATATCATAAAATTTATCTATTGTTAAACCTTTTTATTTTGTGACAATTGTAGATTTACATGTAGCTGTACTAAATAATAAAGATACTTTTCACCTAATCTTCCCACATGTAGCATAGTACAATATAAAAATGAGGAAATTGACATTGATACAATCATTCCACCTTACCCAGATTTAGGCAGTTCTACATGTACTCCTTTGTAGGGTGTGTGTGTGTGCATGCATGCAGGTGCACATTTAGTTCACGTGTGGCTTTGCGTGACCACCACTATGGTCAAGATATGGAACATTTCCAATGATCCTTGACCTTGCCTTTTTATAACCGCAGCTGTTTTCCTTCTAAGCTGCCGTTTCCTCATCCCCTGCACTTTATTTTGAATGTTATGCAAATGGAAGCTTAAGATATGTTTTCTTATGTAAATTGTGTCTGTGTTTGAACATGGATTATTCATTTTTTTAAATAAAGATGGGGTTTCGCCATGTTGGTCAGGCTGGTCTTGAACTCCCGACCTCAGGTGATCCGCCCACCTTGGCCTCCAAAGTGCTTGGATTACAAGCATGAGCCACTACACCTGGCCTATTTTTTTTTTTCAAGTTACGTTTGCAGTGAGATTTTAGCAGTTACGCAGGTTGGAGTGCAGTGGGGTGATCTCAACTCACTGCAGCTTCCATCTCCTGGGCTCAAGTGATTCCTCCACCTCAGCCCCTGAGTAGCTGGGACCACAGGCGCACACCACCACACCCAGATCATTTTGGTCTTTTTTGTAGAGACAGGGTTTTCCTATGTTGCCCAGGCTGGTCTCGACTTCTGTGCTCAAGCTGTTTGCCTACCTCAGCATCCCAAACTGCTGAGCATGAGCCACTGCACCCAGCCCATCGCTATTTTTTAAATTAAACATTTTATTTGGAAAAAAAAATAAAGAATATAGAAGAATTGCAAGATACTGTATGTAAGGCCGATGCCTCGCCAGGAGCTCAAACATGCCCATCCGTCTCCGTGCCTGAAAACTACGTCATCATTCCATGCTCATTACTCAACATCTGGCTTTGCCACATAGATTCCCCACACCCATCTCTGCACACCACTCCCGAGTCTGTACTCAACACTAAACCATGCACTTGGCACCCAGCCCGCCGCTGGAAGACCCCGCCAGACTTGCCCAATAGCAGTCTGCCCCGTACGTCCCTGGGCGGCCCACGTACTGGTAATCCCGCCCACCTACCAATAGCAGCCTGCCCCGTCCACATCCTG